GTCCCGCAGCGCCAGTGCCCTGTCCTAGAGGCCTGGCCCTGCCCCTCGAGCCGCTGCCCGGTCGCAGGCCTCTGCCTTTCCCCGCTCCCCCACCTTGCTGTGTCCTCAGCCCACACTGAGCCTGCCCCCTGGTGTCCGGGTGTCCTCCCAGCGCGTCTGTAGTGCCGGGTGGGAGGCGCCTGCGGGAGAGCGGCCAAGCCCGGTACCGGCTCCGCTCACCGTCCTGCTTAGGAAGGTCCTCTCCAGGGCGCTCCAGATCTGCTCGTCCGTGTGCCGGTCAAAGGGGTCCAGGTTCAACCTGCCCAGGGAGGAGGCTGTGCTCGGCAACCACCCGACTGGGGCAGCCTGTCCCGTCCCCGGCGAGGGCGAGGGCGAGGGCCCGGGGTTACAGAAGACATGGACCCCGCGACGGGCATTTCCCGGGCCGGGTGGTACCTGTCTCTTCTGCAGGCAGCAGCCCGGGTTCTATTTGGGGCCACCTGTCCCCCAGCCCCCAAGCCCAGGGGCTTAGGTGGGGCTCTCTCTCGGGGGTGAGCAAGTCAGCACGCGGCAGCCCCCGGCCACAGGGAAGTCCTGGCTGCGGGGACCAGCCAGGTGGAAGTCACCACAGAGTGTGACTCGGGGCGTTTGGGGCGATCCCTGCAGAAAGGTTTGCTGCTCCTCAGCTGTCCCCCAGGAGGGACGCAGGGAGTCCCCGAAGCCCTCGCTGAGGCCCGGAGATGACTGGGCCTTGGACCAGCCTCGGCCTCCCCGGGATCGCAGCTGAAAGAGGGCTTTGTAGCTTAGCCGTTGGCGGTGTGTGTGTGTGTGTGTGTGTGTGTGTGTTGGTTAAAACACACGTGACATGTTTGTCATTGTAGCCATCTGTGAGCCTACGATTCAGTGGCATTAAATACATTCCCCATGTGTGTGACCATCCCCGACACTCACCGTCCTCAACAAACACTCCGCCTCCGACAACTGCCCCTAAAATCTTAAAGAACGGATTTACGTCTCTCAGAAAAAGTGGGGCTGCTACCGAACGGGTGAGGAAATGGTGCGGGTGGTGTTTGGTGACAGGCTCAGGCGGTAGGAGGGGCGCTGGGGCGTGTTCCTGTGAATGCGTGAGACCAGGAGAGCGCCCGGCCGGCGGGGCTCAGTGGCTGAGCATCAGCCCATGAACCAGGCGGTCACAGTCCGATTCCCGGTCAGGGCACAGGCCTTCATTGTGGGCTCGATCCCCAGTAGGAGGCGTGCAGGAGGCAGCCGGTCCGTGATTCTCTCTCATCATGGATGTTTATATCTCTCCCTCTCTCCTCCTCTCAGAAATCAATAAAAATATATTTAAAACAAACAAACAAAAAACAACACCTTGCAAACGTTCGGGCATCTAAGTTCACCAGGTGTATACCAGGGTCTCTGTCGATCTTCAGACACCGCTCATGAGGTGGGCCAGGTGGGCCAGGTGGGCACGAGGGGCCCAGAAACGGACAGCCCTCCAGCCCTGACCTCCGGTCCTCTCCCCCGGGGGGCCCAGGCCAGCACGCACCTGATGGTCCCCGAGAACAGGACGGGGTCCTGAGGGACGACGGACAGCTTGGACCGCAGGTCCTCCAGGCTGACGCCGCTGATGTCCACGCCGTCGATGAGGATCCGGCCCGCCGTGGCCTCCACCAGGCGGAAGAGCGCCATCCCCAAGGAGGACTTCCCTGTTGGGGCGGGAACAGCAGGGCGTTTCTTCCTGAACCCGCACGGGGCCGGCACAGGGGACCCCCGGCGCGCACACCCTCCCGCCAGCCTCCTGGGTCCTTCGAGACGCTCCTCACCCCTGTAATTCCCTCCTCTGTTTCCCTGTCTGGTGACTCGCCCGCCCCCTGTCTCCTCCCTGGGGCCCACGACGGCAGGTACTCCGGGTGCTACTGGCCGGTGTCTGGGACAGGACCCAGCATGACGGGAGGGTCAGCGAACCCCTGCGGGGTGCCTGTGCGAACCCCTGCCTGAGAACAGGTGGACACCCCGAGGC